TTTTAGCATTTTAGGGTAGGGTCTCACTACTAGATCGGACTTGTAGTGATCTGCCTGTTTCCAGCCTCCCAAGAGCTGGGATTACAGGCATGTGCCACCATGCTTAGTCTCAATTGCTGTCTCAGCGTGCCCCAGGGGTGGGTCTGGCATGGCAGCCCCAGGGATTGAACCCCTGGCCCCTGTGCCTTCTTGCAGGTGCTTTAATCTACTGAGCTATTTGGCCAGCCTGGTGAATTAAAAATTTTAAAACACATAGAATGTTGTTTTTCTTAAATAAATGCCTGCAATTATTTCTTAAACACCATTTAGTTCTTAGTAGTCTATAAAATTGCCTTGTGTCAAGTTAACCTCTTAAGGCTATGCTTTTTTGTTTTTTGTTTTTTTTTTTAACAGTACTGGGGATTGAACTCAGGACCCTGCGCTTACCAGGCAGGCACTTATTCTACTGAGCTATCTCCCCAGCCCTTATTTTGTTATTTCTGATTCTTTATTTTTTTATTTTAGAAAACAAAAACAAAAACAAAAGTATGGGAATGTAGACTGGTACAACTACTATGGAAAGCGGTGTGGAGACTCCTCAAAAAACTAGGATTGGGGACCGGCCAAATAGCTCAGCAGATTAAAGAGCTGGCAAGCAGGCGGGGATGGAGGGTGGGAAGTTCGATCCCTGGCCTGCTGTGCTGGCCCCACCCCCAGACACACTGAGACAGCAATTGAGACTGGGCGTGGTGGTGCACGCCTGTAATCCCAGCTCTTGGGAGGCTGTTACAGGTGGGTCACTCTGAGTCTGATCTCATAGTGAAATCCTGAACACCCTGTAGACCCTTCCCTAGAATACAAAAAACAAACAAACAAACAAACAAACAAACAAACAAAAACTAGGATTGGAAGCCCCATTCAACCCAGCTATTCCCTTTCTGGATATTTTTCCAAAAGCAATGAAAACATTGTATCTTGAGAAAAACCAAAATGCGCATCACCTCAGCAATGGATACAAAAATTGTGGTATTTTTATACTGTGGAGTATTACTCAGCTATAAAGGAAGACAAACTTGAGGCCTTTATAGGTAAATGGATACAACTAGTGGCTAAACTGATAAGAGAAATAAGTCAGACTCATATGTGTAAACCCTGGGTTGTCTTCCTAGTGTAAGAACCTGAAAGAATAAATAAGATCTGATTCTTACTATTTAGAATCTCTTATTAAAATGTTTGGACTGTATTTTCTCTATGTTTTATGTTTCACTTTAAGCTGTCCTCCTCTTGACCATTCTAGAAGAGAGCTGCACACAAAAAATACTTGTTTTTGTTAAAGGCATTCAAAGTGAGAGAAGAGAAGCTAGATCCTTTGAGTCTCAGGGGATGACTTCAGATTAGAGTAAAAGAACTTTTTCCCCCGTCCACCGACCCTGTGTTTCCACGTGCATTCATGTGTCTGCTTGTGTATGGTTTGTGCATGTGATTGAAATAAAGCTCAGTTGCTGTAGTTTGTCGCCATAGTTCCAAACACACAAATATACAAACACGGGCGGTGATGCGGAAATGTCCCTGTAAATATTGTGACAAGAGGTTTCCTTGATGCTTCGCCTAACCTTTACCAGAGATTAGCCCAGCAGAGAGGCGATGACTTGATCGACAGCAGGCGAGCGGAGCTCATCTTACTGCGAATTCTCCACGGCCTGATGACAGCAGCAGGCAGGACGGCTCCCATGCTAGGGTTCTCCCCTCTGGTTTGTTGTGCAATCTCTCGATGACGCTGGAGAGATGGGTGGGCGTGCAAGGAGGGACCGAGACAGACAAGAGTCGGATAGGAGGAGAGGGAGATTTTACTTTACAATAATAGTGACAGCTTATTAACTATTATGTGCCAAATCTCTTTCTATAATTTCTCATTTATCTTCCAGGTAAGCTGTGAGGTAGATATTATTATCTGTATGTTGCCATCTGGCAAACTGGAAGTCTTAGGGACTTTGTGACTTGTCCAGAGTAACATTAAATTCTGGAGCCAGCATTAAGCCTGGATTGCGTACTCTTAAACTCGTGTCCCTTCTCCCATAAAGTGGACAGTTTTTGAAATCAGGAGCCGAGGACCACCCAGAATCTTAAGTCTCAATCAATTCCTTTAAAAATCTTTACAAATTCAAGGTCTTTCTCATGGGCCTATTCTAACTGTAGGGCTTTATGAAATGACTCAGACGTCTTCGTACATCTGTTGCAGATAAATAAGTATTTATGACGTAGGAAAGATGGCAGGGACTGTCAGTCCTGGTTGGGGCAGATGGACGGTCGTGTCACTTGGAAACTGTAAATGTCACGCCCTTGGTCTCATCTCTGTGCATTCCTGGCTTTCCCCGTGAGTGCTGCCCTCGCATGGGAAGTCCTTCCTCACTTCTTGTTCTTTGTTTCTGTTTTCAGATCTAGATACTGATGACGATTTAAATAACGACGATTTTGAATATGAAGATGAAGCCAAACTTGTTATATTCCCAGACCACTATGAAATAGCACTACCAAATATTGAGGAGTTACCGGCCCTGGTCAGTGAGTGTGCACGGCTGCTAGCTAGATGCGCGTGACTCTGTGTCAGGTGTGTGTGCGTGTGCGATGAGTGTGCATGGAGGGGGAGGGGGCCTAGTGAGAGACCGCAGGGTGAGAGCGAGCCTGGACCCAGCACGACGCTGCTCTTGTGTGACAGGTCTTCCTAGGGTTAGTTTCAGCACAACGTTGGGCCAGACACCCGTGTCGCTGCCCACTCCTTCCAGGGTTGGCTGACCGCCGCTGTCCCAGCGCAGGTCTCTTCCAGGGCGGGCTGGTTTCTTTGTCCCCACGTTGTCATTTGTTGCCTAGATTTTCAAAGCGTGCAGCCCACATATGGAGGCACGGCTGGAGAGAGACAGCCTTCTGATCAGAGGGAATGACAATATTTTTATCAGTTTTCTCTTCCACGTAAGATTTTGTTTGGAAGAAACAAAAAACATGCCGATATTATTAAAACAACAGCAACACAGTTGTAGAAAGGAACAGACACTTCCAGTCAGGGGTCCGTGGGAGCTCGGGGAAATGCAAACGCATCCTTTTCAGTTTTGGGCCCTGTAAGAACTAAGACTACTCTAGGTTTTATATTTTTAGTAGTGAGCTTCCCTCCTCCTCCCCTTCGCTTTTCTTGTCTTTGTTTCCAATCCAGTGTTGTGGAGAGATCTTAATTTTCCTGAGCTGCTTGGCTCTGGGGGTGGTGGTGAAGAGGGAGGGAAGGAAGGTTGTTTTTCTTTGATTCTCCAGTCCTCTGAGCGGGCACAGAACTCCTGCGGGGCCCCTAAAGGTGCTTCCCGCTCTCCCCTCATTGCCTGTGTGCTTCCAGCACTGTCTTCCTCCCTTTGCCCCCTTCCTACTCTTTTCTTCCTTTCCACCTGTGTGACCCTTGACCTCCCGAGCTGCATGCTGGGGGCAGTGGGGTCAAGGGGGCTGAGGTCAGACTTGCCGGGTCACATTTTCCTTCCTCATGCTCTCCAGAACCACAGCCAGGTCGCTAGGTCCTGAGTCTTCTGGACATTGTGTGACCCTCCACAGCCATCTGCTCACTTTCTGCTGCCAAGACGAGACATTTGTGCCTGAGGCTTCCATGTTCCTAGGAGCAAGGCGTCTGCCATCCAAGCTCTTTTCTCTGATCTACTTTGTATCAACATATGAGGGCCCAGAAATGATTGCGTCATGCATTTACCTATTGTTGACCTACTTATTAAAAGTCACAATCCTGCCCCTCCTCAGGGCTCAGTGTTGAGGAAAGCCTGCAGCATGGAGTTGCCTCTGCTTTCTCAGATCCCTGTGTTGACTCACATGGCTGTTACCAAGGATAAAATGTACTAGTGGACAAGATGACCTTGCCTCATTCCCAGAAATTATATGTCTCTGCAGTACAGTTCTTACTGTCTTTGTTTGACATAACTCTTATTTTTTCTGTTAAAAAAGAAGAAATGTATCATGCGTAAATGTCATGAGAAGTCATTTTTCTCTCATTGATACTTGCTGGACTCTTTCTGTGAAAAGAGTAAATAACTTTCGCCCATCCCTCCTGTCCTCATGTGCTCCCTAGTCTCTGGTAAGGAGCATTCTACTTCTGACTTCTGGGAGTGCAACATTTGTACGTGAGTGAGGTCACGCAGCTCTGTACTTGGCTTTCCATGCCTGACTTCATAATGGTCACCAGTTCTATCCATGTTATTGAAAATGACAGGTTTAGCTCTTTTTCTTGGCATTGTAGTATTCCAGTGTGTGTGTGTGTGTGTGTGTGTGTGTGTGTGTGTGTGTGTGTGTGTGTGACCTTTTCTTTATCTACTCACCAGTTGACAGACACTTTGGGTGTTCCCCTTCTTTGGCTGTCGTGACACCCATAGACAACCATGCCACAACGCAGAAGTGCGAAACTTACACAATTTCACATTCAACTCTTACAGGCCGGTTTGAGCCAGTACCAGAGCACCACTCAACTTGAGGCCTGTGGAGACACTGCATGGAACCAGGCTTTCCCCGCTTCAGTCCAGAAAATAAATCCAAGAGAGAATAATGCACAGCCTAATTACAGGAGGTTAATCCTGACCCTTAGCTGGACCCGTAAGCAGGGCCTTCAAGTGGTTCTCAGTGATATTTTCAAAACAGCAGACCAGTGTTTTGTAGAGGTCTGAAAGTGTGAGGAAATTTTGTTGGGTGTCACCAGGAAGGAAATTCAAAGAAAAGACGCAAGGCCGCATCTGAATTTCATTCAAAACCATTGTTGTACCTCACACAGGAATATGTAAGACTGATCTAAAGGGGATGGAGAGAATCGAGAGGAGGGCAGAGGAGTGTTCCAGGTAGTAGGTGGAACTAACAAAGGTGTTCTGATCAGCCAGACTGAAAAGGGGAGGGAGGCGAGTGCTGTGGCCGGTGGTGACAGCATGGCCTGTAAAATCTGGAAGGGACTTGGGGAGCACTCAGCCCTGTTTTCCAGGCATCTCTGAAAGGTGGTAGGAGATGAATTTTGGTAATGGAAAGGAAAGCCTAGTTATACATTCACACAGGGATGCCACGTAGTGGATTCTAAGCTTTTTGAGGGCAGGGACCCTTTTCTTATTCATCACATTGCCTGGTTGTCCTGTCAGTTGTCAGCATTAAGCGTAGTGGAGAGTTTGTGGTGCAGAAGGACAGGGTCTTATTTTTACAGCGTATTACACTGTTGGGCAGAGAAGGGAAGACAAGAGTAGACGGGACTGAGGCTGTTGTGTGTCACTGAGTGATCCTTGGCGGGGGCTGGGACTGCGGCTGGGGATTTGTAGAAACTGTCCAGGGGCTTGGTGGGAGGTAGGATGAAAGCGAAGGCAACTTTTTCCATTGTGTGTTAACATGTACATAGGGCTAATTGTCAGAAGTGCTCAGAGAAAAATGGTCAGTTGATTGTGCAGCATGTTATGATATAAAATACAAATTTTGTTTTTGTCCGAAGCACTTTTTAAAAGCAGTCCAGTGGGTTTTGCTATATTCAGAGTTGGGCATCCATCACCACTATCTTAATTTTAGAATATTTTTATCATCCTAACAAAAGACCTCATATGCCTAAGTCATCATTCTGCAAATCCTCCTCTTTCCTGTGAGCCTCTGGTGATCACTAATCTACTCTCTGTCCCTGTAGATTTATTTGTTCTGGACATTTCATATAAATGAATCATGAAATATATTACTTTGTGACTGGCTTTTTTCTTTTAGCATATATTTTCCAGATGTATCCATGTGGCATATATCAGTATTTCGTTCCCTCTTATTGCTGAAGAATACTTCATTGTATGAACATGCTACATTTCATTATACATTCCATTTATTGTTGGTAGGCATTTGGGTTATTTCCATTTTCTTATATAATACTACTATAAGCATTGGTTTATAAGTTTTTGTGGTCACATACTTTCATATCTCTTGGGCATATCCCTCCTTGTCGAACTGCAGGGTTTTACAGCAACTCTTTTTAGTCATTTAAGGAGCAGCCAGACTTTTCCTAAGTAGCTGTAAATTTTACCTTTTCCGCAGAATGCAGGCTACTAAAAACAGCTAGAAATAGCTGAGAGCTGTAAGCAAGTAGCAAATTTGATAGTAGCATTTGGCTAGGAACCATTAGGTTTGGAAGAGGATAGAGTTTGTCTTCCTCCTTCCCTGGTCTGTTGGTACCAAGCAGGACATCACATATTTGCTCATCCTGAGGACTGCTCTGGTGTGAAGATACTGAGACACGTCCCCATCCAAGGTCACATTTGCACCAGATTAAGAAGTGGAGCCTCGCTGCTTACATTCCACTCGAAGTGTGTTTGCCCACATGCCATTGTGTGATGAGTTGAGGATATTAGATACCTGGTGCACATTTGGTGGGAGGAAAATATGCTGCTGGGGTAAATCCTGGGCATTGCTGTGCCTAATTTTATCCCAGTAAACTGTTCGCCTCCTTCTTTACACCTTGCTTGTTAAGGGATAGGAATGGTTCAGTACGATGTCTAGGCTTGAGCCTACACACCGATTTTGCTTCCTTGATACTTTGTGCCATTGTCAATGTGCCACACTCATTGTCAGGGAGAAAGCCTAGCTAGGTCTAGGGGTGTGTGCAGGAAACCAGTGCCCTCATGGTGACTGTGATATTTGAATTTTCTTCAGTGGAGCTGTATTTATTAACAGGCTTTTAGATTCATCTTCTAGAACTTGCTTATCTCTCAACCTGTTTGTAATATGTCACATCTGGGTTTGTCTTATAGGTAACCATTGCTTGTGATGCAGTTCTCAGCTCAAAATCTCCATATAGGAAGCAGGACCCAGACACATGGGAAAACGAATTGCCAGTCTCGAAATATGCCAATAACCTTACCCAGCTGGACAATGGGGTGAGGATTCCTCCAAGGTGAGACTCAGAGAGCGGTTGGAACCTGGCTCCTGTAACTGGCCAGAGCAGCTCTGCTTTCCTACCTTCACTCCGACTGAGTTCTGTGTTTTCTTAGATGTTTATATGTGCAGGATCTTCCACATTTTAAGCTTGTTCAAGCTTCACTGTCCCACACCTGTGACTTTTGAGGAAATGCGCTCCCCTTGTATCCCCATGTCGTGTACAGGAGTCCTCTGGAGACGCCTGGAGAAGCCAGTTCACGATCGGGCGGGGTGCTGAGTGGCCCAGCTGCTCTGGGAGGGGAACGATAGTGGATATTTTAGTGTGGGGCTGGAATCAAAGGCCAGGTCTTGTGCATGGTAAGCACATATTCTACCACTAAACTATACCCCAGCCCGAAGTACTGTCTGGAGGGGGAATGTAGGGAAGCGCCAGTGTCTGTTATTGCACAGAGAACTTCCGAGGATTGATCAACTTGAGACTCTATGATTTCTCAGATGTTAGTTATATGGGGTGTTCTGACTGCTATCCAATGATGTTCCAGTGGTTGGAAGTGTGCCAGGTGTGACCTGCGGGAGAACCTCTGGTTGAATCTGACTGATGGCTCCATCCTGTGTGGGAAGTGGTTCTTTGACAGTTCTGGGGGCAATGGGCATGCCCTGGAACATTACAGAGACATGGGCTACCCTTTGGCTGTGAAGTTGGGAACCATCACTCCTGATGGGGCAGGTGAGTGTGCCATTACCGGCTTTGGGGCTGTGCAGTGGCTCCTTAGATTTAACCTTAATCCTATAGATGGGAGGGTATGGGCTCTGAACTCAGCCCCAGGTTTATTTTTTAAAAATTTTTTAAAAAATGTATTTGGTATAGAGTCTTACTATGCAGTTCAGACTGGTAGAGATCTTCCTGTTTTCAGCCTCGTCAGTACTGGGATTATAGGTGTGCACCACCACAGCCGGACTCAGTGGCTGGCTCAGTGCGCTTGTGGGTGGGGCCGGTGCTGCATGTGGGGCCGGGGATCGAACCCTGGTCCCTGCACTTGCCGAAGCAGGTGCTTAGTCCGCTGAGCTATCTTGCCAGCTCCTCAGCCTCAGTTTGAGTCCTGCTTTTGCCTTTTATTAGCTGTGAGCTCTTGGACAAACTTTCTAATTATTCGAAACTTCAGTTTCATTTTGAGGATAATGATGGGACCATCTTCATGAGTATGAGCACAAAGCATTTCGCCAGTGCATCTAGGAAAGCTTTATAAAATCTAGCTGCTGTTGTTATTATCCTTGTGTTTTTCTCTTGGCTAAGAGGGCAGAAGCAGGCAGCAGGACTTGCGAAGTCATTGTGCACAGTCGAATCCACTACAGTAGGCAGGAGGCCTACCATTCAGTTCAGGCCCCAAACAGCCTGGCAGGGGCGGGACTCGTGGTCTGAAGAACGAGAGTGGTTTCTTACTCGGGCTGCTGGCTTCAGGAGCTGTCCTGTTTCTTTTGCTCTCACACAGTCTGTTCTGAAGCGTGACCATTTGGCCACATTTGTACAGTTAATTTCCTCTGCCATTTTGTGATGGAAAATAAAAAAATAGTAACCGGTCAAGAAAGTGAAACTCAATTATTGAGCAGTGGCTGTAAGAGCCCATCACCTAATCATTCTTGGGCACATTTATTAAGCAAAGCTCGTCTGGCCAACACCCAGCCCAGTGTTTTCCATCTTCCCAGCTTCAATTAGGCTAATTCCCCTGGCTTTAGGGTAGGATGGTGCTTCTAGGAGCGATAGGCATGTTTGCCATCTTTCCTCTTCTTCTTGGTTATCTTTCTGTAGTTCGCTTTCCTGTGACCCAGCCGTGCCCAGCATTTAGTTATGGGGCAGTTCTCACCAACCACTGGTTTTCCAGGGAGCTGGTTTAGTTTCTTACTCATTCTTTTTTTTTTTTTATGAGCAGCATATATTTATTGAGAGAAAGAAAGTTCCTGTCCAAGAGAGGGACAGGAGGGAGGCCCAAACAAGTGGTTCTCTCACTCATTCTATAATCAAGGCCTGACAGTTAAGTCATATCAAGGATTTTTTGTTTCACATTTGGAGAATTTTCCTGCTTCTGAATTTGACTGATTGATTGATTGATTGATTGATTAATTGATTTGGTACAGGGTCTCCCTATGCAGCTTGATCTTATAGTGATCCTCCTGTTTTCAACTTCCCCAGCACTGGGATTACAGGCATGCAACACCACACCTGGTCTTTTTTTTTTTTTTTTTTTTTTGCCGAATCAGCCCACCCTGAGGGCAGGGCTGGTGCTGCATGTGGTGCCAGGGATAGAACTGTGGTCCCCTGCGCCTCCCTAAGCTTGCCTAAGCAGGCATTTTGCCACTGAGCTATCTTGCTGGGCCCGTCACGCCTGGTCTTGGTAGTTGACACAGTATGTGGTGCCAGGGATCAAAAGCCAGTTCCTACACTTGCTTAAGCAGGCACTTAGTCCACTGAGCTATCTTGCTGGCCCTTAATTTGGGTATTAAAACTTTCTAAATAACTCTTTGCTAATCTGGTAACTTGTTTCATTTTGATTTTTCTACTTTTCATTGTTTTCTTGGACCTTTGTAGTTCTTTTTGTAAATTTTTTTGGGTGGTACTTTAGTAGGTGTATATGTGTAGTTGTTTTTCAAATAGTTTTAAAAGAACTCTTTAGTTATTAGATATATTAACCTGTTATTTGCCCTAGTTGTTACATGCTGTGTGTATGTGTCTCCATGTGAGTTTATATGTGTGTTCAATGGTTGTTAAGGAGGGAGAGTTTTAAAAGATTGTCTGTCTTTTTTTTTTTTTTAAAGGAAAAAATGTTTCTTTAGCTCAGTTTGTAGAGATTTTAGTCCCTAATCAGCTGACTCCAAAGTGGGAGGTTTGGCAGAGGGACCGTGGTTCATGGTGGTGCAAGACAGAAAAGCAGTAAGAGGGAAAGTCTGTCTTATTTTTATTATAAAAGACATTGCCGAGAATGATAGGATAAGTGTTTTTGAGGTGAGAGGGAATATTTTGAGGGGAATTAATGGCAATTTGTCTTTTATTGTAAAACTTTTTTAATAAACGTATTTAGTACAGGGTCTACAGGGTTTCACTGTGCAGCTCACACTTGTAGGGATGCTCCTGTTTTCAGCCTCCCAAGCACTGGGATTACAGGCGCAACTGCGCCCTGTCTCAATTGTCTTCTCAGCAAGCCCTGGGGGCAGGACCAGCATGGCTCGGGGATCGAACCCAGGTACCTAGGTCTGCTTAAGCAGGCACTTTAATCCGCTTAGCTATATAGCCAGCCCTGTTGTAAAACATTTTTAAACTTAAATTTTCACTTTATCTTTTGATTATGCCATTGAATAAACATTTGTAGCAGTTTCTTTCAAATAGAAATGTTGTGATGTGTCCTCACCCACTTTGATCACTGAGTCTAGCACTGTGTGATTTTTCCCTAAGCCAAAACTACCACTAAAGGTAGATGTTTGGAATCAATCCAGTATACTAAAGGTGCCACAACACAGTTAGACACTCTAACATTAAGAGGAACTTCCAGAACTCTTACAGGAAGTGAGAAGAATGATGGGATAATTTGTTTGAAGCAAGAGGCAGGTTTTTTTTTTTTTTTTCAATTTTTATTTTAGGGAAGGGTCTATACGTATTCAGGGTCTCACTACTAGATCGGACTCATAGTGATCCGCCTGTTTACAGCCCCCCAAGAGCTGGGATTACAGGCATGTGCCACCATGTCTAGTCTCAATTGCTATCTTGATGTGCTCCCGGGGACAGGGTTGGCACAACTGGCCAGGGTATTGAACCCCTGGCCCGTGTGCCTGCTTGCAGGTGCTCTAATCCGCTGAGCTATTTGGCCGGCCCTAAGAGGCAGCATTTTAAAGGTTACTGACAATGTGTCTTTTATCCTAATAAATATTTAAATGAAAAAATAAAGTTTGTCTTATGTAACTGACTATATTTGACAATATTTGACAATATTTGGCTATACACTCCTTCATAGACTATTCAAGACACTAGGCAGCAACAGTGTAATCACACATCTTGTGATGAGGGTTCTTGAGTTCATCTAGCTGAAATAATGGTAACTTGAAGAAAGATAAGATTTATTTCTGTGTGTGTTGTGTAGTGCTGGTTTAATCCATTTCATAGTAGTTCATGGTTTGCATAATTCTGTTTTGTTTCCTTTAAATCCACTTAACAGAGTGTTGGCTATAACCTGTTTATTTAAAAGCCAAATGAATTAGTAAAAATGTCTATAAGCCTTCCTTAAGTCTCTGTTGATGAACCTGTGGACTTGGTGGCTTGGGAAGGTGGGTCTCTCTGCCTGGTGAGGGCGGGGTCACATTGTGGTAACGAGCTTCTGCCTAGAGTTTGGTCTTCTACCCTCTGGTCCCTCAGGATCATTCAGCCCACGGAAGACAAAATCTCAAAGTCATGGCATTTGTTTTTTTAGGTCATAATGAGAACCACAACTGCCAGTCAGTGGGATGTTTATGTCAGCTCAACCAGTACATTCCTTCCCTGTGGGAAGCTGAATTATATTTAGAAGATTGCTTAGTGATTATGGACTCCAAGAAGGTTGTAGATGCAGATATTTAATGGCAGTATGATCTGCTGGCCCTGGTTTCCTGTCCCCCAAGGAGGAAGTGTCTGCCTAGTGAGCAGCTTCTCAAGGCCTACCCTTGAGGTCTCCGTGGAGATTTCGTTTTTCCTGGGAAACCCTGATCCTCCAGGTGAGGCCAGGGTGGCAATATATATCCTAAAAACGGGTCTCATATCCAGTTCCACTCTGGTCCCCATGGTACAACAACAAACAAAACAGGAAGCGGCTCACCACACAAACAAACAAAAGCTTTCCAGTTCAGGGTGGAGGAAGACATTGTTTTGACCTAATGAAGAGGAGGTTATTGATGGCAAGGGTGTAAGGGGAGATGGAAGCAGGACAAGATATATTTTATTCCTTCATGGAAACTAGTTGTTTATCTGAGAAGGTGCTTCCATGCCATGGGTGATGGTAGGAGGGCTGTCCAGAGGTGCCGAAGGCGGCTCTGAGAGTGCATGTGCTGTTGCTTATAACGGCTATCCGACATCAGAAGCTGGTTTTTCTACTTTGGTCACAGTCACCCTTGACCTGGGCGTAAGCTCCTTTCAACGTCTCACGGCCTGAAGGTTTGGAGGCATTGTTGACTTCAGTTTGTCTTGCCCTGGCTTGTGCTTCTCCTCCTGTTTCATCATGACACTTTTCACTGGTTCCTGCAACTGTCTGCTTAGCGGGGTCATGTGGGACATTAGGCCCCGTGTGCCATGTGTGGTCCAGTGTTGTATCCCTAGCATGTAGCATCGTGTCTTGTGCGTAGTAGCTACTCAGTAAATATTTGTAGAGTGAACAAGTAGAGGAAGGCGCACCGATAGAATCTGCTCCTCTGATTCACCTTTTCCCCCATTCACTTCAGGATTGTGTTTCTGGTGTATTTGCTAGGGCGATCCCTCCTTCTCTTCTTTTCCTGTTGGTGGCAGATGGCCTGTGGGCACACTAACAGAAACTCATGGTGGGGAGAGGTGGTTCTGGTGGACAGGTCTGCACTTACTTGGAAGAGAACCTTTCCTCAGCCTCTGTTCTCTGAGTTCCTCTTTGGTGTGTGATCTAGAGCTCTGGTCTCTCTACTTGAACTCTCTATAAACTTGGTGGGATACACCTTTACCTCTGTCATTTTCTGGGGCTTAGGAAAAGAGCATAAGTCATATGCCTGAGTCAGGAAGACTTTAGTTGAGGTCCTTCACACCAAACCAGCATTCCTTCAAAGACTATTTGAAGTAGTAATGTTTACATTTACAAAGGTAGGGACTCTGCTCATTTTATTTAACATTATGTCCTCAGTAACCACATACATTTTGTGTTTGGTAAATGTTTGTTGAATATAATGAATAAATGAATGAATGAATGATTTATCTATGTGGCTTGAGCAAGGTTGACAAGTGACACACTTGTCTTATCAGCATATTGTCAAGAGAATTGTTGTAATCTATGGGAATTACTTGTAGAACATTTTTTCAAGTTGTATTACCATATATTTGGGTAAAACAGGAAAGGAAAAAATAAAAGGAATCTTCCCATTCAGAGATAAGCTTCCCATTCAGTGGTAATCAGTTATTACCACTGGTACTTTTTTTTTTTTTTTTGTGGTATCAGTGATCGAACTCAGGACCTTGCACTTGCCAGGCAAGCACTTATTCCCCTGAGCTATCTCCCTAGCCCCCCTCCCATACTGTTTCTTGTAGTGTATTCTTGTTTCTAGTCTCAGTCTCCGTTTCCATCTCCGCCCCTACCTTTCCCCTTCATTGGAGTTTGAACTTACCACAATACTCTTTTCTGACGTGCTTGTCACATAAGTGGGATATCCCTGTTCTAAAAATGTCCTTTTATCTCTTCTCTTGGGAGTGCTGGTTCATGTTCTCTGTGGTTTACTTTGTCATTGAACTTGAAATGAAACAATGACAGGGTTTACTTCTAAAATGACCATAGTTACTCATGCGGTGGTGCTTGGCTATTCCTGGGTAGATCTCACCATGGACTTCCTGGCTGTCACTCTTGGCTCCACGTTTTAGGCCAAGCGGGAGAGCTTGGGAGGCAATACTTGTCACACAGTGCTCACTGCTGTGGTGGTTTCTGAATGAAGACTTCACTGTGCTAAGCTAAAGCTGGAAGTAAAATTTCCCAGTGCAAAACATACAAGGTAGTATTTTCGGCCATTATAATTTTTGTCTCTGACTACATATAATTTATAAATACATATCACTCATGATGGCTAAGATTAAGGATCAGAGTTTATTTTTAGGTTCTTATATGTTATACACTAAACTGCTTTTTCATGAAGGTAAGAAATAGCCACAGTGTCTTACCAAGTCAAGTTGTGTCTTTGGACATTTAATAACTAAAGGCAGGAAGTGTTGTTTTGTCAGTGTTGCAGGACCCTAGTGGGTTAAGAAATAGAGAAGGCTGTGCGAGCTTTCATTTACTTCAAAATCCTGTGACAAAGCCAATGGTGCAGTTCTAGCAATTGCATTATTTTCTAATAGATTTTTGATAATTAGCAGCTTAACATCTTAAGTCTTTGAAACTATCTCATTAGTTGATAATAAGCAAAGCCAAAGTGCTAAGAGAGCATCAGTTTTGCCCTGCAGCTGGAATTTCTTCTGTTTCTTTTTGTAGATTAAAAAGTGGATGTATGTGCTTTTACCTTCTGTCCTTCCCTCCCTCCTCCCTCCCCCTCCCTCCCTCTCTTCCTTCCTTTTTGTCTTTTTGAGACAGGGTTTCACTATGCAGTTCAGGCTGGCCTTGAATTTACTTTGTAGCCCAGGCTGGCCTCAGTGTATACTTTTTAATTAAGTTGCTAGTTCAGAGGTTTTTTAAATTTATTTTTATTTTTTTGTATTTGAACTTTTTGGAAATATTTTTCTTAATTGGGCTGGGGAATTTTTCTTTTTTTGCTTTTGAGAATATTGAATTACAGTAAAACAAATATAAGTGAAGGCTATAGTCCACAAGTTAAAATGGACACTTAGTGGAACAGGAGTAGACAGGGATGTTGTGTAATGTTTACTGTATTAAAAAAAAAAAAAAAGAACTGACTTCCTTTGGGGCCAGTGAGTCTCCACATATCTGGTACAGGGCATAGATCACCGTATTAGCTATGTGTTACAATGTGCTTTTCTAGTGATGTTCTACTAGTAAAAAAACCTCCTTGGACAGCCTATCTGTTATGGTGTTAAACAATGATAGCTTTTAAAATCTATTTTTCTTGCAATAGATTTGTTTTTCAAACTTAGGAGTGAAGAAATTGTGGTTTTTGAGTCTCCATTCCTGTGTACAGGACTAGGTCACGTTTTACTTCGTCATTGGCATCCTCCGATAGCTTGTGTTGAGGGAGTTAGGGCTCTTGGACCCTGGTGGGATTTGAGGTGACACCATTTAACTGTTATGAGTGTCTTTTCCTCTCTTCAAGAGAGACCTGAAAATGCCAGTTCCTCTCCTACGTGGCATTGGTGTGTGAGGACAGATGAAAGAGGAGAACTTGTAGCTCTGAAAATTGTGGAAGTTCTGAAACTGTACTGTGCTGTGGTGGGGGGTCTTGGGAAAGCATAGACTTAGATTTGGTGGTCTGGGAGGAGGCCTTAGGTCTGCATTTCCAGGGAGCCCAGGTGCTGCTGCAGACTCAGGCCCGTGTACCGCACTTCAGAAACCAGGTTCTGTGTCAGGCGCTCGGTTATCAGGTCGGACCTTATCATCCCGAGGAGCGAGTCTGCCCACCGCAGAACAGAGCTTCCCAGCACCAAAGTACCACAGAGCAGGTCCTGGGCTGTCTGACCCCCCCTGAGTCGCCCTGCAGCTCCAGGCCCCTCTGCTGTTCCTGTGTGTGCTGAGGCGAGCACGTCGTGGAGTTATGAGGCCGTCAGCACAAATCTCATTGGTTCTGTGAGTTGTGGGCACTAAAAAAAGAAGAGGTGTGAGGAAGGAGTGGGAATGGGGGAGAGGAGGAAGTCTAAGAATGGAGGGTCCCACTGGCAGAGTTTGTTTCATGTGATGATTAGCCACTCAGGGGCAACCCCATCTCCCTCCCTGGCAGACGGGGCTGTCGCATCCTCCTCCTTTATCTTCCCTCTTCTGACCTCAGTTAGACTTATGCCACTGGTTAGAAAAATCAAGTATTCCATATCTACGTTTACCTGGGTCATTTGAACTTCAGGTACTGTTCTTTTTTTTTTTTTTTTTTTCTTGCTTCTTGTTTCAAAAAACTTTTTTTCCTTAACTTTTTGAAAATATCAAAGAAATGGGTATGTGTTTATATTTCCGAGATATACCTTTTTATTATGTTTACTGTTTATTTCCTGGTTGAATGTTAGGAATTTTTGTTTTGTTCACTGCTAGACCCTGAGCTTGGTGTGCAGGAAGAACTCAGTAAGTGCTTGTTGAATGCTTGAATGACTCAGTTACAGAGCTCAGGGTTTCTTTTCTTCTGCTAGATGTTTATTCTTTCCAAGAAGAGGAACCTGTCTTGGACCCTCACTTGGCCAAGCACTTGGCACATTTTGGAATTGATATGCTTCACATGCATGGGGTAAGGAAGTCTTTTTTCTCTAATCCCACCTGGGACTGGGGAGAAGGTTGGGGGAATGAGTGGGGGTATTGTGGTTTAATTCCGCTAACATGGATCTTTATTTCTTAGATTTTGTTTTAATTTTGCATGCACTTCTTACACTTAATTAATTAGCATTTTCCTTTGTTATCAGCTTAGTTTTTTTTTTTTTTTAATGTCACAACAATGGCACCTCACTGGACACAGTTTTGTTGCATTGGAGTTTATTTGCAAAATTTCTATCTCTTTTCATGGTCCATTATGCAAATCACTCTTTGTTCCCTAAAGGGAGAAGGTACAACAAAATGACCTTTAAAATTATTTGTGCTCAACATCATTTTTAATTACTTTCAGGAAGGGAAGCAGAGTTCCTGGGGTGACGGAAAGAACTAGCGGGCACATTGTTGCTGGTGGAAAGGCCTTGGTTTATTTAGCGTTGCGTTTTCATGCCCATGTGATGGTGCAGCATTTTTCCCTTTGAGGTGCCACTTAAGTGTATGTGTTTCCTTCCAGCACTTTCTTCCCAGGATGCCCCTCTCTCCTCCTGTTTGCTGTCTGCTCTTTCTCATTGATACCTAGCTTTGCATTTATTTTTGTCTGTGTTCTTTATGCCTCCTTCCTCTTGGAAGGTGGTCCCATGTTTTTGCTCCACATTCCTTGCTTTTTTATTCTATTGTATCTTCTCTTGGTCTTTTCATTTGTTTCTTTTCTTTTTTTTTTTGATTTTTGCTTTTCATCTTCCTTCTATCTTCTTCTTTCTCATTAATTTTTTTTCACTTTTTCATGTAGTAAATTACATGTAATGGTCTGCCACCTAACCCGTGTTAAGTGTGTAGCTCAGTGGCATTAAGCACAGTGACGGTTTTGCACAATCATTATCATCTCTCAGTCTATTAATTAGGCTGCATATTTGTCCATGTAACTTGGGCTAGCGGCTAGTAGAAATAGCCACATTAGATTTTGTGTTTTAATTTTACATGTACTTTTTACACTTAATTAGCATTTTCCTTTGTTACCAGCTTGGTTTTTTTTTTTTTTTTTTTTTTAATGTCACAAAAATGGCACCTCACTGGACAGTTTTGTCTAATGTCTAATGAACATTAGACATAATTCATGAAACATAACCTTTGACTAGAAGTCATATTTAAAGTTGTTTTTCATGAATGACTTTGCCCCAGACAGAGAATGGGCTCCGGGACAATGACATCAAACCGAGGGTCAGTGAGTGGGAAGTGATCCAGGAGTCGGGGACAAAGCTGAAGCCGATGTATGGCCCCGGGTACACGGGCCTGAAGAACCTGGGCAACAGCTGCTACCTCAGCTCAGTCATGCAGGCCATCTTCAGCATCCCAGAGTTCCAGAGAGCGTAAGTGTCTCGTGCGGCTGATGGGCCCCAGGTGTTGTCCCTCATACTTAGTGTTGAAGGTGGCACCTTCATTCCTCCTGGGGTATTGCCACTTGTCTGTGAACTTCTCTTCCTGAGGCTGAATGGGAACACTTACCTGTGTTGTGGGGAGAGATGTAGAAGGTGGAAAACACTCCATGAAGGTTTATTATGTTAGTTGTGGCTTTTTGACTGTCACTCTTTGTGCCAGAATGATCGTAATCATAAACCTTCAAGTCCCTTGAAGCCCTCCCAAGTCCCTTGGGCAGATGTCGTAGCAGGGAGTTAGTGAAATCTTTAGCCAACATCTCTCCTCTGAGAAAGGAATGTGCTTTTAGGGGACAGAGGGTTTTTTAATTTTTGCCACTCAAAATGTGGTTGGCAGCCAGCATGTGGCACATACCTCTAATCCCTGCTACGGGGAGGCTGAGGCCAGAAGGTCACCAGTTTGAGGCCAGCCCGGGCTGCTTACAGAGACTCTGTATCAGAATTAAAAAGTGTTGGTCGTTGGGTGTGGTATGCCAGGAATACCAGTAGTCTAGAAGGCCTAGGCTGCAAGACTGTATTTTGGAATCATACGCTAGTTTGGGCCTAGCATAGGAAGTTAGTGACTTAGCAAGACCCTGTTTCAAAATAAAAAAAGTAAAAAGGGCTGAAAATATAGCTCTATGGTAGAGTGCTTGCTTGGTATGCATGAGGCCCTGGATTCAATTCTCAGCACAACCAAAACGAACCAACCCAAACACACACACACACACACACACACACACACACACACACACACAATTGTGGTTCACTGATGGGTGCTGGCCTGGGAATACTTTGCGAGCTTTTAGATGTGGTTCTGTAAGGAAGTAAGTATGGAAATTGAAAGTGAGCACTTAGACATTTTTGTAGCAATTTGACATTGCCATTTTTTTACAAGTGGCATTTTATTTTTCTTGTAACTCATGTTTATGGCATTGAAAAAGGTGTCATCCATCTGAGTCCAGCCAAGCTGGTCACAGACATTTTGGAATCATAGATTTAGGGTGCCTCCCAATGGCGCAGCATGGGGCTGCCTCACTCGTACCACATCGAGCACAGGAGCTGTGTGCACAGCCTCTTTCCTCCTTGAGTTGCGTGCAGGAGTGAGAGCTGCCGAGCCTGGAGCTGAGGTGGGCGCCTCTGTTCAGAAACTCTCTAGTGTCTCGAGTGGGTAGGTTCCCCCGTGATTCAAGTGTGTGCGACAGATGGACGGGCAGAGAGCTTGCTAGAAAGAGTCAGGCCTATGCTCTGCTCACGTGGAATTGAAATCCTAGTCTTAGCCAGTAGATAGTCAAAAGTATAAAGGTAACTTTCTTTTTTTGTCTTACTTCCTCTGTGAAGACTTAACCTCTTTTTGCTGTTTTCTGGCTCTGAAAATGTATGGTCCATGTTCTGTGTCTACTTTTCATGTTCTTCTCTACCAGTGAAGAGTGTGCTCGGTTCTGCTGAACAGCATGTACTGGTCAGCGGGAAGCTAAGGCCGTGGTACCCCCTCAGGGAACATGCAAAGGAACGGACACTTGAGCGAAGCATCTAGGAGAACAACTGCATACATATAAATGTCATGTGTTCCTTGAGAGAAAAGGAAGGAGGACGGTCAGAGAGGACACTTGCAGGGACACTGCCCGTCAGACGTGCGAGAGGGGTGGGGACAGAAGGTGCTGGAAGATTCAGTTTAAGACTTGAGGTGGGAAACCCTTTGCAAAGATGTGCACCATGTGCCATATTATTTTTAGGTTTTTTCCCACGTCTCATCCTTGTATTATTATCATTTGACTGGGAAATAATGGAACGCTGTCCCACATGACTCATGTTCCAAAATCTTTCTTGAAGATATTGAAGAAATGTCTTGGTAGGTGTTGTGTAATTATTATTTAATTTAAACTAAGATGGAAACAACTGTGTTCTTTTCTTACAAACTCCAGCAATATTTTTAACGCTTTACAAACCTAAAAATAATTTTTTCTTCCTGTACTCTTCATGTAGACCAAGAATTAACTTTCTGATTTTTTTCTTTAATGAAAATGTATATCCTGTCTGTGGTTTTGAATTTAACATTTGAATCTTTCCCTAGTCTTGTTTAAAGAAGTTTAGAATTTTCTATATATTATTGAATATTCTATATTTTAGTTATTTTTTATTTTATTTTATTTTTTATCAGAGATTGAACTTAGGACCTTATGCTTGCCAGCCAAGCGCTTAAGCCGCTGAGCTCTCCTCCCAGCCCTTATATTTTATTTTTGTAGACATTCGCCATGTATGTTAGACTGTGAGAAACTTACTATTTACACTCACCCTCACTCTTTCCATTCTTTGAGCAGATGTCTGTAGATTGATGTCCTTGCTTGCAGACTCTTTTTTCCCCCAGGCCAGCTCTGAGGAGTTGTGCCCAGGAACAGTGTGTGCTGTAATTAGGAAGGTTGACTCACAGGAGGAGGAGACGATGTGTGTATAGCACCATGTAAATTCCCAGTGAGGATGGAAACTGGGTAGTGTGTACGCGGAATGATTGGGCTGGATTGTCAGGTAGCCAAATTACATCTTCTTCTTTGAGGGCCACGAGGTTAAAAATTGATGGTATGACATATATTTAAAAAATTATTTAGGGATACTTCTGCATTTTTAATTTAATTTTGTTGTAATTGATAGTTAGAAAAGTGTTATAAATTTCTGGTCAAATGGACTTTTTAAAAATGTATTTAGTACAGGGTCTACAGGGTCTCACTCTACAGATTGGACTCGTGGTGATCCTCCTCCTGTTTTCAGCCTCCTAAGCACTGGGATCACATGTGCGAGCCACCATGCCCAGTCTGTCTTAGTGCTGACACAGCTTGTGGTGCCAGGGATTGAACCTCAGTCCCTGTGCTTTGCCTAAGCAGGTGCTTTAGTCCGCTGAGCTATCTGGCCAGCCCTCAAATGGCCTTTTCTGACTTCAAATGTTTACCCCTCTAACTCTACCTTTTTTCTTACAAGTCTTGCCTTAAGCACAAGTCTTCAGTATTGTGCTTCTTTCCAGGGAGGGTTTTGCTTTGTTTTATTTTGTTTTGTCAGGTTTTGAAATATAATTAAAATCAGGTTATAGGAGAGCTATTAAACTGGTTCATCATACTGTATATTATAAAAAATTCACGTGTGACTGCTGCATCTAAGTAGGTTAGCTTTATAGTTTGGGTTTTCTGTTGTCTCTTTGTCTTTTGAAAATAGTATTGTTGCCCAAGGGACACATTCAAAAACCATTCAAAGGGATGAGCTCAGAGACTGTGATCTGTTAGCTTTGCTGTCCATATGCAATTTGGAACACAAATTCTGAGTTTGTAGACAAAGGTTACCAGAAATTTATAGCAGTTTAGTGGTCCAGTTGGAGGTTGTCACTACCTATTAGTGTGTCCTGATTCTTTACCTGAAAAAAAAAAGAGATGATTTTTCTAACTTTAATACCTGTTGGTCAGCTTTCTATCCCTGTGCCAAAATATCCAATGGTAGTCAAAGTAAGAAAGAGGAAAGGTTTAGTTTAGCTGACCATTGTGCATTAGTCCATGTCCAATTGGCACTATTGTTATGGACTGTGGTTGCACAATTCATCATGGTGGCAGCTTGCAGCAGAGAAAGATCATGGACCTCACAGGTGGGTGGGGGAAGAGAGAGAGAGCCAGAGCGAGAGCCAGAGTGAGAGTGAGAGAGCGAGAGACAGAGAGAGAGACAGAGACAGAGAGAGACAGAGAGACAGAGAGAGACAGAGAGAGAATCAGAGAAAGAGAGAGACAGAGAGCCCCAGAGAGAGACAGAGAGAGAGAGACAGAGAAACAGAAAGAGAGAGAGAGAGAAACAGAAACAGAGAGACAGAGACAGAGAGAAAGAGACAGACAGACAAACAGCCAGAGAGAGCCAGAGAGCCAGAGAGAGACACATAGAAAGAGACAGACAGACAGACAGAGGGACACACACACACACATACACACACACACACACACAGAGCCTCAGAGCCAGAGAGAGAGATACAGACAGACAGACAGACAGAGACAGAGAGCGAGAGAGCAAGAGAGTGATAGTGAGCGAGCGAGAGAGAGAATTCGTCACTGATCTAACTTCCAACTTCCTCCTGCTAGGCCATATCTCCTAAAATTTCTACTACTTTTTTTTTTTTTAATTTTATTTATTTATTTGTGTGTGTGTGTGTGTGTGTGTGTGGCCAGCTCAGCCCACCAGGGGGCGGGCTGGCTGGCATGTGGTGCTGGGGGATTGAACCGCAGTCCTGGGTTTTGCTAAAGCTTGTTCTAAGTAGGTGCTTTAGACCACTGAGCCATCTCACCAGCCCCATCTACTACTTCCTGAAAATGCCACGGTCTGGGAACCAAAATACATCTCAGCCTTTTCTGTTTGGTTATTGGTAGTCAGTTACAAAGATTTGTGATGGGTTGCATAATATGAATGTATTGATTTAACAACTATATTGAATGCTTTACATTTAGGTGCTATTCTAGTCCTGGAGATACAGTGATTTAAATAGACAAAGTCTCTATCTTCATGGAGATTACATTCTGGTATGAAATCTTTAAATAGATGATAAATAAGAAGGGAAAAGAATTGCTTAATTGCAAATAGTGATGCATGTGAAGACACTGAGCAGGTCAGCCAGGGCAGGTGATAAGGAGTCAGGAAAGATGGGGGTGACCAGTCTTGTTTTGGCTGAGTCTAGTGGGGTGACTGCCAGCAGACCTGAAAAGGAGTCGCCAAGCAGGCGTCTGTGAGGAGACAGCAGATGGCGTGGCCTTGAAGCAGGGGTGATCGTGGCATACCCTGAGGCAGCAGGAGGGCCAAACTGCCTTTGTGGGCAGGGAATGAGTAGTAGCAGAGGAGGTCAGAGAAGCAAGCAGAATAAGGTACATGAAGGGCCAGAGAAAGGGATCTGAATCAGTCTTTCCAAAACTCTCAGGCTCAGTGAATCAGAATTTGAAGGAGGAAAGAGGAACAAACAGTAGAGGGTATAAAATAGTGACTGAGACAGTGAAAAGAGTGATGGTGCAGTAAGATATTAGGGTAGCGTTGTTCTTTCAGTATGAACCCAGCAGAAGGAGGGATGGGCACTGCGCATGGGAGTAGGCATCCAACTACAGCTGGTGGACTTAGAGCCAGTGGTTCAGGGCCTTTCTGGGTTCCCGGGTTAGCTTTGGAAGCCACTTAGTGAATTTGCACCCCAGTTTCTCATCTCTCAAGTTGGTACTAACAATCCCTTCCTGTTACAATTGTAATGAAGACTCTACTTGCTACTGTAGGACACTCTCAAGAAGCGGTAGCTCTCACTGCCTCTAACACTATTGTTTATCTTGAAATTATTGGGAACTTCCTAATTTTAAAGAAGGCATTATTGAGACACTTGCTAAGACGGTAAGACAGATACATACAATGAAGGTTATGACAGTAAGTGCAGGGTCTGCAGCACCAAGCTCTTAGAGTGAAGTAGAGGCAATGGACTCAACTCTAGCTCCAGGGAGGACAAGTAGAGATTTATAACTGAGGAGCAGAGTGAGGGCCATTGGTTGGAGCAGTACTAAAGAGGAAACGTCACGACTGAGGGGCTCTGGCTACCCTGTCTTGGTAGGAGATGGGGATTTTCACTCAGCTGACAGCAGGATTATCACTCAAACAGATTCTGTAAGAATGGAAAGGGAGCTGGGGACATAGCTCGGCAGTGTAAGCACCTGCCTGGCAAGTGCAAGACACAAGACGCAAGATGCAAGGTACCCAGCCCCCCAGACCAAAACAAACAAACAAACAAACAAACAAACAAACAAACAAAAAGAACAGAAAGGGAAGCCCATGCTGGAACTGACCAGAGTGCTCAGAGCAGCCTGACTGAAGTGTCGGAGAAAGCTGTCCTGCATGAAGGACAGAGTTGTTCCTTACCTTACCTTTTGTATTTGAAGTGGTTCTGAGAGCATGAACTGGTGTTTCTTGATGCTGGTGGCCTCTTGGAATCCTGTGAGGGGACTTTTAAAAGAATTCGAAGTGCTGAAACAGAATCATTAGGAAATTAGAATATCTGCAAGTAGCTCCAACTTTAAGTTTTAAAGAAACTCTAGTGATTCTGACCTGCAGCCACTGTTGAGCCCCAGTGACCAGAGGATTAACATTTCAGGATGGCCCATTTGAAGGATGACCTCAGGAGCAGCTTTTCCTCAGGTCGATGGCTTGATTTTGACAGGCAGGAACATCTTCATGCGAATTATTTCAGCTCTGTTCTTCTGTTAGCTCCTCTGTGTATTATCTTCCCCATTGCTGGGGCAAAATTTTGTGACACTCATAATTTAAAGGCGGAGAAGGTCACTTGCCTCATTACTTCAGAGTGTTCATTCCACAACTGCGAGGCTCCAAAGCTGGGGAGTCTTGGTGGAAGGGCGAATTGGAGCAAAGCTTCAGCTCCTGGCAGCTGGGAAACAGAGCGAGGGAAGCGTGCTGGAGAGGAGAGGGCCGGTACGGACCTCAGGATCACACCTGTGTGACCCACCTGGAATTGTGCTTTGCTAGTCTTCTGGGGGGACCCCAAGACAGTTAAGTTGGCAGTTGTTCCACCATGACACTTTTTGACTGTCCCTTCTCTTTTCCCAGGTATGTTGGAAATCTTCCAAGAATATTTGACTATTCACCTTTAGATCCAACACAAGATTTCAACACACAGATGTAAGTGCCATGTTGTAGGGATTAAAATAACATTATCCAATGGAGTGTTCACAGGGCTTATTGCTGGGCTGCAGAATTAAAGGCGATTCTTTTGACTTTATTTTCTGTGTTTATAAGTGCTCTACAAACAAAAGTAATAAAATTATAGAATATTGAAGAAAATTTGAAAATGCAGTCAGAATAAACAGTCAAGTAAATAAGTAATTTGTAATCAAGATAAAATAGTCCATCTCGAAGTGGCTGTACTTGTTGGAATTCATAGATAATTTTAATATCTCTGCAGGAAGACAAACATGACCTCTTTGCTTTTTGTGTTTCCCTCCTGGCCAGGACTAAGTTAGGACATGGCCTTCTCTCAGGCCAATATTCAAAGCCTCCGGTGAAATCTGAGATCATTGAGCAGGTGATGAAGGAGGAGCACAAGGTATGTGTCGCAGGGTTGTCATGTTGGTATGCAGGTGGGTGTTCTCTGCCTGCTAAAGGCTGCCTATAAATTTAGCAAGCTGTCAGAATAGCTATTTAATTTCAAAATGAATGATACCTGTCTTTGTGCTGCTAAAAATCCTGATAAGGAATACCAGGGTTAGGGTTTCCAGTGATGATGGCCCCATGAGGACGCCAGGTATATGCCATTGTTATAATCGATCTCAGAAGTAATTATAAGGCAGAAGGAAAGAACCTTATAAAAATGTAAACATTTCCCCCTTGGTAACATAATCTTGGTCCTTTTCTCTTAAATTTCTGCTGTGGTTTCTCAAAAGGCTGGGTATTAAACAACATCCATTTTCCTTAGCCCCTCTCTGGAGCTGAGGGTTCACCATTCCTGGGCAGGGCTGTGCAATCCTGATTGTAATAAGTTGCATCATGATTTTTAAACACACTCATGGAGGAGAAACTCAGCCATGCAGGCACTGTGACTGGCTAGATGGAAAGCTAGGCTGGTGGTCTGAGTGGCTGACTTCCACCTCCCTGCGCAGTGGGCTCCTTCCTGGGCTTCTCTGTTGCCCAACTACAGAGGCTGGTGCATGTAGCCTGCTCTTTTGAATGGTGCTCTTGGTTGGAATTGTGCAGGGCACTTTTATGTGGCTTTATTTGGTATTGTTGGCTGCTGTTGCTGCAACTGCCTTGAATGGAACACACGTTTGTTCCTGTTGCCGGGACAAAAGACCCTGTACCCACAATTTAAAGGAGAAGGTTATTTTGGCTAATGGTTCAAGAGGCTTCAGTCCTTGGTACCTTGGCTCCAAGGCAGAATGGGCATGGAGGGGAATGGCAGAGGAGAGCTATTCAACTCGAGGTTGAATAGAGGGAGAGAGATAGGGAAAAGCCAGAGGGAGAGATACGGCTCCCAAGGAATGGTGGCCAGGGGCCACCATTTCTACCAGCCCCACTTCCCAACTGCACAGTTGAACTTGTCAGTGAATCAGTCCACTGAGGTGAAAAGTGCTCCAGTGACCCAGTGACCTCCTGAAAGCTGTACCTCTGAACACAGGAGGCTTTTGGAAGACGTTTTATATCTAAACCACAGCAACATGCCCACCTCACCATGACACACTGTTCCCTTGGAATGAACACCTTTTCCTTGGAGCAGACTAAATAGCTCTAGACTTAGTGTACAAGCTAATTCCATACAGCTCTGAAGCATTTGACTTTCCATTCTGAGGCAGTTTGTCCTCACCAGAGGCCTGTAGACCAGGGGCAGAAGTCAAAAGCAAGTATATTCTTGTTCATTGAAAGTTGACTGGGTGTAGATGACACAAAATGAATGCGAGGAAAGATTTTGAGGGGAACTACTGAGGAAGTGTTTTCAGAAGAGAGTAGGTTGTGAAGAAGGAGAGTGGAGATAGATTATAAGTGGTGAGCCTAGGTGATTGGGATGTGAGACAGGAAGAACTTAGGTCTTCAGATCACCTTGTAAAATAAAGGGTTCCTCAGGCAGCGGGGTTTGGATCCTCTCCTCTGGGGTACAGTGTTGAAGAAGGTTAACATGGGGGGTTGAGGCATGGGGTTTCTAGACTTCTTTAACTCTTAAACTTCTGTGAGATGTAGATGAAATGATAGTGGAGAAGCTGGGTCCAAATTTTTATTTGGATTACATTTATCCTGGATGCCCCTCAGGAGCCTGCCTCCCTCCCTGGCGTGGCAGGAGCTGTGGAAGGAGAAGGCATGGGCGGCCCCTCTCAGCATTTGCTGGGCAGGACAGGTTGAAGTGGTGCTGGTGAACATTCTTACGGGTTGTGCTCTCCAGTGGTGATCAAATTGGTGTATGTTACATGAGTATTACCATGTTTTGGGAATCTTCTCATTTCAGAAAATACAAAGATGCAAAATCATCAGTGGGGCCATGTTTGAAAGTGAAGTTTGTTTTTGTTAGTGTTTTAATGTCCTTTTTACAGTGGAAAAAACATGGTTCTTATACAAGCCAGGCTCGCTGTTTATTCACTCTACAAATACTGCCATCTTGGAGTCTTTGTCCCTCTTCCCCTTTGCATCCAGTGGCTGCTGTGCAGTAGCTCTGTGGTCCTCTAGAGGGTGGGCTTCCAGGACGGGAGCTCTGCTCATTCAAGGCTGAGGTGTGTAACTTGGTCACACTTGGGCCACATGTGGCCTAGAACTATGTTTTGCTTGGCTCACACCTACAATTTGAGTTCTCAGCTTCCCTTAACCACTGAGGCCCTGAGAGTCCTAGCCCTGCAATGGCAGTTGGAGCCCAGTGGCAGTCTTTGCTGGCCAGTGCCTTTGTGACTTGTGACCTGATTGGTATCTGTACATTTGGGACCTTTGCTCTAGATGACTTGTAAAACCCTTCCTGACTTTGAGTCCTCATGATCTTAAAGAAAGAGTCCTGTCTCTGGGAGGCTGAGGCAGGAGGATTGCAAGTTTGACCTCAGCCTGGGCAACTTAATGATTTGGTGAGATCTAGTCTCATAAATAAAAATGGGTTGGTGGTGTAGCCCAGTGTGATGTTCCTGAATTCAATCTCCACTGAAAATAAAGGGGCTGGCATGTGGTCAGGGTGCGGTGTACATCTTTGAGGTGTTAGGGAGGCCTTTCCAGTGGGGGAGAAGTGGATCGGTCTTTGGTACATGCATCAGTCAAGTGCTTGTAACACTCAAAACAGATCTTGAATGGACTAGCTGGTTTTCTTTGTGGTCCTGGGTGTGTGTGTTTTAGCTGTTGCCCAACCATGCAGATAATTCCTGGCAGAAACCTCTACTCCCTTGGACAGTGCGGGAAATTACCTTCTGAGCCTTCAGGATTTTGCCCTTGCAGTTGATTTCAAAGGAATTGATTAGTGAGCATTGCTTTTGTCTGAGTTATCAGGAGCTCTTTGGTCAGGGGGTCCTGTCCTATGCCTCTGGTATTTGTGCCTTACACATGAGCCTTAGTTGCCCCAGAGAAAAAAAGATGGCCTGAAGCAGAGAAGGGGTAGATTATGAGAGGAATGATTGCTGGAGGAGAGAGGGAGGCAGGCCAGAGCCATCTGGCAGAAACTTTATACAGGCCCCCTCCAACAACGACACTAATAACTGGCTTCACATTGTGGCTGTAAAAGGGGTCAGGCGCTTCCTCTTATTAACTGATGCAGAAAATGATACGAAAATTTGCCTGAAGTTACAGAGCTGTTGAGTGCCAGCACTTGGAACCATACCAGGCCGTCTGGCTCCAGCGTCTGTGCTTTATTTTATTTTTAAAAAATTTTCTTTTATTTTTAAAGAGAATACAAATATAGTAAAAAAAAAATTAGACACGATACAGAATTTCACTAAATAAAATCATAGAGATTCAACAGTGGTTGTTACATTGCATATTGTTGTCTTCAAAATAGTTGTGAAAGTTCCCAGACATTAGCCTATAAGATTAGTCAATAAATGATAAAAAATTAAAAAGAAAAAAAAATTTAAATGCTAACTGCTCCTTTCAATAGACCAGCAGAAATCTGCAGTATAATTATCCAAGCTATCCTGTGTATAACCATATATATTTCTCTTTTCCTTTTCTCTCTCCTCCTTCCCTCCCTCCTTCCCTCCCTCTCCTCTCTTTTCCTTTCATTTCTCCTCACCCTCAACCCAATTGTTCCTTCCCTTTGAACAGATTCTTTTCCTTTCAGAGTATTCATTGTACCCTTCAGATCCTATTTGCTCTTTCAAGTTCTTACACTAGCAAGACAATATGGTATTTATACATATTAATCTACTGTGTATGGGGGGATAAAGCAAAATTTATGATAGATAGTTCACTATTCACATTTTACTCAGTGCTGGCCAGAAACTAAAGCAAGTATTTTAGGCAAAGACTTTCTTTTTTTTTTTAATTTCAAATTTCTGAATTTAGTTCAACTTATAATACCACATTTCCAAGAAAAATGAACCTGTTGCACAAGAAATTTAAATAAAATCATACCAAGATACACAAAAATGAAATTGTCCAAAACTTATTGTAAAGAAAAAATCATTAAAACATATAAATAAAAAATATTAGCTATGGAAGAACAAAATTAAATAGCATCTTATTCCATATTAGAAAGAAAAAAAAGGACCAAATGTGTAGTAAACTAGACTTATTAAAGGACTGAAAGAAAGAAAAAAGATCTGTCCTCTTTGAATTTTATACTTAGCAAACGTACCTTTGAAAACTAAATGTAAAATATTTTCCAGTTATACAAACTTGAAATATTTAATACCTCCAGACGTAGCATATAGGAAATAATGAAGAGCATAATTCAAAAGGCATAATTCAAAAGAGAAGTTGCAGTATGCTCCTGCATGAACAATAAAGAGCTCTCAAAATGATAGTTATGCAGGACTATATAAAATATATTAGATGAACCCCTATTTAAAAGGTCATTCAAGATTTCTGTGAAATGGTAACAATCTTATGTCAGGTTATACATGTATTTTTTCATATATATGTGTGTGTATGTGTGTATAAAAGACAGGGAAGAAGTAATATAAAGTCAACAGAAAGTGGAAATATACTTTTTAAAGTTTCTAATACTAGGAGAAGATATCATACCATGTCTTTTAAATAAATTGTAAGTCAAAGACATAGTATAAATTTTAAAACCAAAATTAAGATTAAGCAATATTCAGAAAATTAAATACTAATTAATTAAAAATTAAATGTTTCAAAACAATTGAACTATGAAAAAGTTTTCATGATAGTAAAGTAGTACTAAGAATAAAACATAAGGAATGGCAAATAAATCACCAGCACTTCTAACAGTTTGGAGATAGGATCATCGCACAAAGTTCTAGTGTGTTGTGGACATGGATAATGTCCATGACACTTACTGGTGGCCAGGTGTCACTTGTGGGACTGAGTTACTGCTATTTCCTTGAAATCCACCCTGTAGACCCAGATGGAATCATGACTCATAGGGTGCAAGAAAAGTCCATTTGTAGAATGTGCTGATGGAAATAT